TTTACAATTAACAAAATGCAATTGTAAATTTTGTAGCAAGAGCTGACCTTGATGTTGGTGAGAAACGGTTAACAATTTTTACTCGAGATTAATAGCTTTCTCAAACTATCAACTAGTAAAAGCAAGTAACCACATGTGGTTACTTAACGATTAATGCATTAATCGTTACACATGATAGTATTTCAACTTGTTTCAGTATCGCAAAATCGCGAGAAAACTCATTATTGAAACATTACTTTAGTAGCCGAGAATTAATTAAGCTTTGATACACAAAAGCCTTGCGAAATTAAATTGTACAAAATGTTGATATCGCAAAGTCTGTGGCATCATAAAAAATAGGAAACCTTTACCTTTAGCGTGGGTTAACAAGAAGAACAGTACACATATCTTCATTATATGTATAGGATCATACAAATATGTGTGCTACGCTTTTAAATACAACTGTTGGTAGTCGTCTGTAGTCAGAATGGACAATATATGAATTTTTTTTAAATGAGCAATCTTGTTAGAGAAATTTCAGAGAACTATTGCGCAATCTTTCAGTACTTTGTAAAAAAAATTATGCACAATAAGTGTGTGAGATTAAAGAACTATCATTTTAAGCATCTGTATAGTTTTTTAATTCATGGATGGATCTCTATAATTTTATAAATAGAAATTATCCACGTGTTCGAGAACAAGCAAATGCAAACAAATGTTTGTGCTAAAAGCTTTTTGAAGTCTCATTTATATGAACAAGATTAAAAAAACTGCTTCCTCTTCCGGCTAGTGGTTTACGTTTACAGTGTTGAGTCAAAATATCTATAAAAAAATAATTTTGGAATAAGGAGAACAGAAGAAGAGACTCGAGATCGATCTGGAAACAATAAATCTTATAACAAGGCAAAAAGCAGAGTTGCAAGGATAAAACTATGTTTTCGGTCGAAAGCCAAGATAAACAAGAAGCGCTAAGAAGGTGACACATGACAAAACATATAAATCTGGGGACCTGACATCGTAAGGCACGTGGCGAGATTCTGCTACATTAATTTTTTATCAAGTCACACAGCAACGACTGACAGCCCGGGTGTGTATCAAGGGTGTTGTTAACCTCAAGCATTTAATTTAGGAATTTTATAGTTAATTGAACTGGTGGCGTAATGTGACAAGACCATGAAGAGATTGAAATGCTTCAAGTGGTCAATTTTAAAGGTTTTAGTACATGTTTCTAACAACAGGACGACTTACGATGATCCACTACAATTCACTACTGTATCGCGTTTTAAGACAAAATATGCACATATACATACATAGAAGCACATGTACGTTCGTACAAAGACACAACATTGTATTGTCCTAAGTTGGGACTCCTAGCCATGATTTTCGGTCTGCACCGTAATAGATATCTAGGTCTGGATTATTGTTTTTACAGGTAAAAATCCTACCACTGTGGAGTAACCATGAACCTGATACTGAATCGGTCATGGACTCCGTCCAGAGCAAACAAAGTATTCTTTAATGGCCAGCGGTCATACCTACGTATAATGAGACCACACCACTCATGCCTGTTAAATAAGAGTAAAAACAGTGCGAGAACAGACCACATCCAACCCGTTCACGATGATGAAAAGATAAAGGAAAACCTATTCTGAGCACGGACTTTCAACACTGGATTGGATTGGATAATTCTAAATTGTGGACAACGTTGACTGACTACGAAAACAACACCACAACCAACAAACTCAATACTCATAAACAAAGTTGCGACTGGTCATGAAAACTTGATCAAGTCAATCCTTTATTATTTCTGCGCGCAATATTATGTTCTGTACATACATGCTCATTTCTGTATGTTATTCGTGCGTAAAGGGAGAGTCTGCATAATCAAGAATTTTTCTGCGGAAAACAACTGCGGCAAAATAATATACTAACAACATCCTTCGCAAAGTGAGTCAATTATGTACGATTCTTACAGTGCGAATATGTAAGTACCTTTATTTTGGAGTCCACCCAACGCAGTATATAAACAAACAAGACAATAGGGGTTTACAACTGTCTGAAAATTTTTTAGCGGTCACTTATAAGTCAATTTATAAAATCACTTAAAAGTGCTTGCGCGTTGAATGCTCTTCTAGAAATTCTCAACTTCGCAATTTTACAACCTTTCAATTTTGATTTCACAAACGCCAAAAACTTTTAAAAATATATTTTTTAAAATATATTTTTAAACCATTAATGGCTATATGTCTGCTAACTTACATATTTATATGTTTTTAAAGTATTTATTAAGTAAATTCAACTAAAATAAAATCAACAAGGGCGAAGTGAGAACTCGCGGGGTAACATAATCGACTTATAAGTCGACTTATTTACAAATAAGTCATTCGAGACGACTTATTTCTGCACCACTTATAAGTGGTGTATGCGTAAGTGAAATTGACTTATAAGTGAAAATTCCACTTATAAGTCGTCCTGTTGTAAACCCCTAATGTATTAAATTCGCAGGTAAACGGATATGGAATTCATCTGCAACGCAGAAAAACAAATAATAGTAACTCTGCGAACGCAAATTTTATAATCTGAAGGATAAGAATAATGGGAATAATAGTGTACAATTTGTCTCACACATGCGATCCCTCATATTCACGGCGATATAATTAATTTAGCACACTATATTTATATGAATGAGCTAGTGCACAGTATGCTCAATATGCTCATATGTGATACTGATACTACTACGGTTATCCTATTGTTTATAATTTAAAAATTAGGCTGCAGGAGACCAGTGAAATCGTCACCATAAATTACACCTACAGTCTGCAGTATGCACGCAAAGTCCTCACGTTCCACCCACAATGGATGATGCAGAGGTTTGCAAAAGATGAAATCATACAACATTGTATAAATATTACTAACGAACCAAACCCACGAGCATACGGAAGAGTCATCGAATATCATTATCAATCAACTAATAAAGTCCTAATTAGTCTCAAATTGCACTGCATGCTAAATAGTATCAATTCACATAAGACTTGCATATATACGTTTCTCCCTCAATATCAGCAATGCATGTATGTAGATCTTCCTAAAATTTCAGTCCATGCAGTCTCATCTCATTAAGGATAAGCACACGACCTACTTACAACCTTGTAGTATACATATTTAAATATATAGGTATCGAAAACCACATTTTGCACCCTTTGTTCTGATTTTAATTAATATGCACTCCAAACGCCATGCTTTCGTCCAGTGTGTTCAAAGTAATAAAAATGACAATGAGTGAAGATACCTACTAATAATATTTCAACCCATTATTTATGTAAGCGAGAATAAATGAAGGCCTATTATATTTCGGGCGTTATCTTCATATGTAAATATTCAAACATTTAGTGAATCATGCATTGAAAAAGAAATATAGGTGCATATGTATGTATATACATTCATGCATAACTGGGAGATAGCGAATAAATGCTCTTTGTACAAGTACACCTTATTATTCTCATTAATTTAGATTTGATCGAGTGAAAGCTCGGCACTTGACAATTTTGTAGAGAAAAATCTGTCAAGATTGGCGTCGCAATTTCTGAGAAGGGGAGGATTTGTTTACTACTCAAATTGTGGCATTACTCCGTAACTTAATTTAAAAAGGAGAGTGAATTTGCCTATTCAGTGCCATATTATCATTCTGTGTTTTAGTTTTTATATAAAATAAAGAAAATAGAAACATGCATTGTATACAGAAAGGTATGTACAGTACCAGGTGAAAGGTTCCTGTTAAAAAAATTATTCCACATCCAAAGATTTTAGATTTGCACAGTCGTTTATTAGAACGTCAAAACGCAATTTATTCTTACACAACCAATCAAATTAAAACATTTACGATTGCAGCAACTTCAACGTCAGTAATTTTTGAGAATATATTTCCATCAAATCGACTTCCGGGAAAAATTTGTATTGGACTAACAAACAGTGACGGGTTTCAATCAAAAATTAATAAAAATCCTTACAACTTTGAACATTTTAATTGCTCAAATGTTTCAATCAGTGTGGACAATTTAACTTTGGAATATAGAAATCTCTCGTTGAATTATCCAAATACTTGTCTGCTAGCGTTTCAAACCTTAGTTAATGGATTAAATCTAGAACAGCAATCAATCGGAATTAGCCGAAAAAATTATTCAGATGGTAACGTATTGTTATGCGTTGACAGGAAATGCTGAAAATGCTCAAATGGGAGGAGGAATTGATCAGATTGGAAGTTTAAAAACTGAAATTACATTTTCAACTGCTCTTACCTCTCAAGTAACTGCAATAATTTTAAGTCAATCGAGTGCTTTGTTGTCTATTACAAAACACAGAGAGGTTGAGGTTATAAATCAAGGAATTATTTAAATATGAATTCCGTACAGGTATATGAATGTTTAAGACTGATAATGAGAGGAAAGTTAAATGTTGTATTTGATGTTATATCAAGCGACAAATTGGAGAATTTTATAAAAGTTAGTGAAAAGAAGAAATATGTATTTATTTTAATTGTAAATTTAGATCCGTCTTATTTAAGAGGTTCACATTATATTGTTGTTGCAAAATTAAGTTATGAATACGAAGTATATGATTCTTATGCTAAAAATATGCATTTATATAATAAAACATGGTTTGCATATTTACAGTCCAAGAATCCAGTGCAAAATTGTATTTCTCATCAACTAGATTCAAGCTTACTATGTGGTGGATTTTGTTTGCGATATATTCACTTTAGATTACGAGGGTTATCCATTTCTCAAACATTAAATACTTTTTTTAGCAGTAAATATAAAAATGAGAAGATCGTAAATAGTTTTTTAAAGTGTAAATTCGGCAATATACTTGTAAGAATGCAGTATTTCAAATCAATTAAACTCGCTAAATGTGAATGATGAAATAAATGAATCAGGAAATTTATCTGACTGACTGAGATATTTATTTAATAATCATCAAGTAATGCATGTACATTGTAAATTGTATTTGAAATAATTTAAACTTTATATGCCAGTAGATCCAAATCCATTATCATGTCGTGTAGCTTTGACTTTGACCAAACTATTTTTTATTTTATCATCGTTATCGTCATCATCATCATCTTCCTCGCTCGGGGTCTATTCATATATTAATTAATTAACTATTACGCATTACATTATATATTTTTTTCTCGATTTATATTTACCTTCAATTCAACAAGAAGAGGATACTCGATCTTTTCGCATATTAATTGTGCAACACGATCACCATACTTAACATGGAAATCTACTCCGCAATGGTTAAATAGCACAATCCCGATATTGCCGGTGTAATTTTCATCTATAACGCCGGCTAATGAAGCAATACAACATGTTCAATTAACATTGGTCCTAATTTTAATTGATTATGATATATTGTTCCACCTCCAACATCTATTCCGTAAAGCCATGCTAGACCGGATCGTGGGGCAATTCGACCATAACATCCAGGTGGAATTTTAATTTGTAAATCCGTTAAAACCAGACACCGTCCATAAGCGATAACAGTATACTCGTATGCACTAAAAATAAAGTTAGTTTAATTATGGAAAATTGTATTACTAATGGTTGTCTCACCTTCTAAGATCATATCCAGCTGACTTATGGATAAGTTGTATTGGAGCCCAAGCTTTCTCTGTTAAACGTGTAAAGTATAATGTTGGTTGCGTAGAAGGAGAAGCTGGTGGTGTCGGTGGGGATGATAGTGGTGCTATTTGCCTATGCATTTTTAGTATTTTCTTAGTTCAACGCATAACAAGAGAATGAGCGAAGAATGTTCAGTAGAATTTTATTTATTTCACTTTGCTTGTTTTTGCGCAAGCGATCAGAGAAAATAAGAGAAACTTGAACTGGAGAAAAAGAGGACCGAGAAGTGCTTTTTGCTTTTACTTTAAAGTTATCAGTTTAGGAACAAGGTTAAGAAATAAGCATGGCTCCTCACATACAAAGACCGTGTCCATTGTGTAATTTAAATTGCATTTCTGCTCGTCATGTTCGTCGTCATTTAGCACAGAATCATTTTTGTAACTATTGTGACTACCATTTTACGAATTTACGGATGCATCAACCGTGTCTAAATTATGGACATATAGGTCTAGGAGCTGAAAATCATTCTCTTCACTCTGGTCATCGGCTTAGATTAACAGAAAGTGCATTAGATTTTTCATTTTCTAATTTTCATTTTTCAATTCCTTCCGCGCCTCGCACCGTATCAGTTGAAGCAGTGTTTCGTGCGTTAGAGCAAGATTTGACTAATCTGATAAGAAACTTATTGATAAGATTTCGAACTATTCAAACTTTAATTAATTTGCAAGTGAGATTAATTAATAATTTTACCCAAGAACAAAGAAATTTTTGGTTATCATCAGAAATGGAACATATTCTTAATCCACGACAAATCAAACGATGGTTGTTTCGCTCAGCAGCACAGCAAATTGGTGAATTATCCGTATTTACAAAATTATCTTCCTCTTGGTCCGTAGTTCGATTTTTGGATATAAATGTGAAAGTGGCAAGAAGACCAGGCCTTCGTGTTGGCTGCTTTATTGAGTTACCAAAGTGTTACAAAAATAAACAAGGAATTTTAAATTTAAAAACTAATACTAAAAATTTGTGTTTCCCATATCTGGCCATTTCTGTGTATACTGGCGTATCTACAACCTCCGAGGCTAAGAAAATGAATCAATATAAACAATTTATGAACATGAATTGGGATGAAGATAATCGAAAATGTCGATATATAGATTTTTCAATGTTGGATTTAAATGTTGGAGTAGAATTTGAAGATCTAGAACTTTTTGAAGCAACAAATTCCGAGTTTTCCATTAATTTGTTTTGTCACGATGATAAGGACTCGACAATTTATCCAGTTAAAATTGTTGATAAAGAACTTAAATATCATATGGATTTACTTTTACTTGAAGGAAAAAATTATGAAGCCCAAACGCATTTTGCACTAATTACAGACTTTGATCGTTTTATGACTTCTAAAACAAGCAGAAATATAAGACGGTTTTGTAATCGGTGCCTTATTTCTCATCAAACAGAAAGTGATTTATCTGAACATTTAAATGCTTGTGAAATTGATTCTCCTCAGCGACTTGTATTTCCAAAAGAAACCTATGTGACATATAAACTTTTATCTGATCAAGCCACTTTTCCCTGCTTTGTTTGTGCAGATTTTGAGACTTATGCTAAAAAACTCTCTGGCGATTGCTATACTGAGAAAAATATTGAAGAAAAACATGTACCTATTTCTGTGGCTTATTTATTGATTGAAGGAGAGAATGTGGCTAAGAAAAGATTTATATCGGGGGAGGATTGCGATCGAGTAAGAAGTTAAATTAAATTAACACAATTAATACATGACATGATATAGTTCTTATTATTTAATAATAATAATAATTATTATTATTACTTTAGGTTTTTATTCAAGAATTATTTCAACTGGCTGAAGAACATTTAGAACAATGCTCAGTTTATCGAAACGTTCCCCAGATGGATTACTTGGACTGGTTTAGTTTTTTTTTTTTTTTTTTTTAGATAGATTTTTTTGTAGGGTGTTTATTCAAGATTGATATAGCGTTAGCCTTTACAATCATCATTCATTCATTTCATACAATTCATACAAAATTCAGACATGCATACATGATTTCATTTTAAATATACAAATCAGCCAATCTCTAAAACTATGTCCTTAGTTGTGGGCATTATCCACAAGTAGCACCCGGCATCCCAATACAGGCTAACGACACACCATTACAAACATACATGATATGCTCATTATCAAATGATAAAATGTATGCAGCAGTGGGTGTAGAGGGAAAACCGGTGATGGTCTCGGAAAACCTCTACAAGTATTGGGAAAGTGGCCCAATACTATATTCAGCCCATACTGCCGGACACCCAGATAGGAGAATGAATGGCAGTGATACATAGGCGGATTCCAGGGTGGTGGTGGTATCCAAATGAGGGTGGCGTCGTGCAGGCAGAAGTAGACAGTTGAAGGTTGTTGGGCGGGGGGCGTCCACGGACCGCAGGGTCAAACCCACGTCCCCCATGGAAGCCGTAGCCGGGGCCGATGACCCCCCCACTTGCCCCTTCCCCCATCGCGACACATCCAGGTCATGGGGCCCCCGTAGACCCGACTATGCCGCCCTCCGCCATGCACGACCCCTCCCCCCACTCTTCCACTAACCACCCCCCACGGTCACCACCCCGATATACCAAACAAAAACCTACCTGGGGGAGTCCTTCCATGGCGTAGATCCTCCTGTGCACTGGGTCCGGCGAATCCATCTTCGCCTGGTGGCTCAGCTTGTCGTTGCTGGGACGGGTGTGGCAGGGGGTGTCACTAGACACGCAGATGGGGTGTGAGTGGACGAAGCTCACATGGCGATAAGGCCTTGGACACACTTTACGTGCCCTGGCACACCCGCGATCCAGATGGAAGAGGATCCAGATGCAGAGCGAAAGAGAGATACGTGGTGCACAGGAGGAAGCCAAAGAAGTTCTTGACTGGTTTAGTTATGTAGCAACAAATATATGTACAATTTGCAACGAACCTCTTGATATAAAAAATAATAGACCTACATATGAGGAGCTGATAAAAACTCGAGCAAGTACATCTGGTGAACCTATGGAATTAGACAATGAAGGTGATTACGATGAGGAGGAGGAGCAGGAAAATTCTTCAAGCAAACTCAACTTATTTTCAACACAAGTGTATCAGTTCGGTGAAAAGCTTTGCAAAAATTCAGTAGTTCGTCATCATTATCATGGGAAATATGAAATGAGAAGTTTTAGAAACAATGACATAATTCAACCAGGCATTTTTCTCGGTCCAGCCCATAACCGATGTAATATTTCTTTAAAGTCTCGAAATTGTCTCACTGTTTGGTTTCATAATGGTGGACATTTTGATTCAAAATATGTCATTCAAGGTTGTCTGAAAGCAGGAATGCGAGAGGAAGATATTAAATTATTATGCAAAACATCAGAAAAGTTTTTGCTTTTAGATTTATATCAGAATGGAAAATTAAAAATTAGAATATTAGATTCAATAAAACATTTAGTGTTTAGTTTAGGTAGTTTAATATCAAAATTAAAAAGCGAGTTAAGTTTATTTAAATGTACTCAGCAAATAATTCCGGGTTTAACACAAAAAGAATATGATCTTTTAATTTCTAAGCAAACTTTTCCATACGAACATGTCACGCCGACAAATTTAAATACCATAGCTGATGAATTGCCACCAATCGAATGCTTTTATTCAAAGTTAAAAAATTCAGGAATTTCCCAGGAGTTGTATAACTTCGCAAATAACATTTATAAATCATTTAACTGTAAGTCATTAAATGATTATTTACGAATTTATAATTTATTAGACGTATCCACATGTGCGGACTTATTACAAGCTTATAGAAAACAATGTGCAAAATTATATAATATAGAACCGTTAGCATTTGTGACATTACCAAGTTTAGCATTTCGAGCTGCTTTGGCTTCATCAAAACAGAAATTGGAATATGTAAAAAATATAGAGTTATACCATCTTGTTAAGTTATCTACAAGAGGAGGCGTTGTGAACTGTCCTCTTAGATATTCAAAATGCAACATTCCAAATTTAGACGGATATTACGATCCTCAGTTACCTGTGACACAAATTGGGTATATTGATCTCACATCGCTATATGCGTGGGCAATGCTACATCCTTTACCAATTGGAAATTATCGTAAACTTTCTCCACAAGAATGTTTAGATTTTAAAATCGATGATCACCCTGATGATGGTCCTCATGGATATTTAATGAAAATTAATGCTACAATACCTGTGGAATTTCACGATTCTTTATGGGGCGACCTGCCACCATTCCCTGAGCGAATAACTATTTCGAAAGATTTAGCATCGTCTGTCCAAATAGAAATGTTGGAAAAATTCCCACATTTAAGTAGTAGTTTTGACAAGGAACAATATCTCTGTACACTTTATGATAAAAAAGGATATGTTGACTTTCTCCCAAATATTAGAGTAATGCATCAGAATCATGTTAAAATAGAAATTTTAGAAATCTGGAAATATGATCAGGCCCCATTCTTAGCTTCATTTATTCAAAATTCGATCGATCGCAGAGCAGCAGCGACTGATGAGGCTCAAAAATTGACAGATAAATTAACCGCAAATAGTGTATTTGGAAGTTTTTTAAAAAATAGCAGTCGCTATCGTCATATAGAATTTATTTCTAGTTATGACGCTGCACTGAGGCATTTAAAAAGTCCAAATTTTAAGAATTTCACCATTATTGATAAGGGATTAGTTCTTATTGAAACGAGTAAAAAGAAAGTTATTCTAAATAATCATGCAATTATAGGCAGCTGTATAATGTCACGTGGTCGGTCTCGACTTTATCAAATGTGGTTATCCTTGAAAACAAAGTTTAATTCTCGTATTCGTCTTAATATGTGTGATACTGACAGTTGTTTATTTACACTTCAACTACTCAAAGGCGAAAATTTCGTAAAAGAATTAGATTCTGTTAATATTTCTCCTGGTGAAAAGTTGATTGACTTTAGTAACTGTCCTACAGACAAGAGAATCGATGGAATTGATTATGATTGCATAAAAGGTGTACCTGGGCGAGCGAAAGTTGAAATACACGATACTATAGTCGAAGTAGCAGTGCTAAAAAAGAAAGTTTATGCAATCAAGATATTAAAAAACTGTCCACAAGGAATTTCATACGGTGAAATTAAAAAAATGAAAGGTTTGCCACAAAATTTTTTAAAATGATTTAATTTTGATACATATAAAGATACAATATTAAATATTCGACTGCAACCTCCTATTAAAGTTCGTATGATGACAAGCTTAAAATTACAAATGTATAATATTTTTAGTATGAGAAAAATGTTCACCCCTATTTCTGAATCCAGATTTCTATTACTTGATGGATTGGATTCAATTCCATTCGGTCATTATTCTATAAGAGATGGCGTTGAACATGAGACAGTTTTTGAGGAGAGGGAATAATTAACTTATCTAATAGTGTGAGTGAGTGTACTTTTGTAAATTGTTAATAATTATGAATAATTTATTACTACTATTATTTAAAGAAATAAAATGAACTTAAAAAATAACGAAGTCGTTTTAACCCTGTTTCACCCATTTGTAATGACCGTATCGGGACCGAAAGTTCGAACACAATAATTCACATCTCATCAAAATTGATTTTATTTGTATGGTAATTAATTAATTAATTAATTACTTTCAGGCAAGCGGTAAAACGGAATTAATTAAGAGATTAATATCAACAAGAGACGAGTGTATTAGTGTTTCGTTAAAGAAAGTGCTATATATTCACGGCATTGATGACCCTGACTATATCCAGTTTGCTTTATCCCATCCAGATGTTAAATTTTCATCTTATCTTGATGAAAGTATGTTAGAACCTAATTCGCTTCTAATTCTTGATGACCTTCAAATGCAGACAGAATCAACGTTAAATAAAACTGTGAATAGACTGGTTACGTTACTATCTCATCATCAGAAAATTAGCATTATTATCGTATATCATTCACTTTTTGCAAAAAATTCTTACTTAAGTCGACTCTCAACCGACTATTGTGTGATTATGAAGTTTTTAACCGGGGGAACCAGCTTAGGAATGTATGCACAACAATGTTGTAGCGACGTCGGATTTTTTAAAGAAGCGTATAAATTAAGTACAGCAAAACCTTTCTCACACTTTTTTATCGATCTGTCTCAACACCAAAATAATCTCTTTCGTTTCCGTTCGTCACTCTTTCCAGCTGATGACGTTTTAATATTTACTCCATTAAATTCATGATGCAAAGAATCACGGAAAACCGACCATTTTTTGATTTACTATTTTCAACTGAAAGTAATATTAAGCAAAAGCGAATTTTAAAAAGTGAAAACTATGAAAATTTGTGTAGTGTTTTTGAACTTATATTTAATGCAACAAAATTCACTTATACCAAAAAAGAAGAAAAAATACTTTCAAAACATCGAGTAATATTAAAAAAGTTTTTCAAGAAAAAATGGCAAATTCCAGAATTTAAAGAATTTATTTTAAAGGGATGGAAGAAAATTGAACCTATAATTTGTCTAGTACTTCAGAAAATTTCAAAAAATACTGTATCAAATACTTTATGTGATAATGACTAGTGGTGGCTGTAAAGTGAAAGTTTATAAAGTTATTAGCCCTGAATTATACAAAAGTTTAATGGAAAAATTAAAAAACGATCACACATCATCTTCATCTGTTTTTACTCGTCAATCAACATTAACTTCATCAACATTACAAGCTTATAGTAGCAGTAATTCAATTCCAACCACTTCAACAAATTTGTACGGATATGAAAATATATCTAACCAAAGTGGCGGAGGAATTGGTGGGGGTATTGATGTTCATGAAGCCTTAAATTTTGATGAAATAAGCGATCTTCCGAATTCTAATCCAAATCAACAACGTCAACAACAATTTAATCATTCACAAAATGAAAAAGTTGAACCATTACTTCACTTATTCTCCATACATCAGAAAGAAAAAGCTAAGCGTTTATTATTATTTCTTTCAAACAACAACGTAACGTGGTCTTCAACTGGCGAAGTAAAATTTCAAGAACGAACTGTAACAAACAGCAATATAATTGATTTAGTTTCACTTGCTATTAGTCCTCATAAACCTCGTAAATTTGAAATAGTTGGTTTAGCTAGTATTATCCATGTTGTAAAACTACTTAACGTTCCTCATGCCCTCCTTGGAACACCCTTCATCAATATGATAGAAGGTAAAATGGAACACAAAAATCCGGCCTGGGTAAGATTTGAGGACATAGCATGATTTTCGAGTCATTTAGAAAATAAAACCGAGCTCAACTGAGAAATATCAGCCAGTTGTAATTTTCTCGGATACGAGCATCAGCAATAGCACCATTTCCAGTACCCTATTCAGTGACATCATAGATATCATCTTCGTCTTCAGAATATACGTCACACAATGGAATATATAGAAACACAAGCAGAAGTAACAAACGAATCCAATTCACCAAGTGAACACGAGATTTCTGACGAATTTGCTGATTTTATTAACGATAAAGAAGAAGGTAACGATGAAGACACCATAAACTTGATTCGAAGCTTAGAAAACGCTAACAAAGAAAAAGAATGTGATCAACCTCATCGGCATCATCAACCACAGCAATCATCATCATGTAAATAAATTTCAGGAATCATTTTCATAATTATTTTAAAATAATGTAATCTTTCATCAGTGCAGGGACGAGGTAGAGGTCGCGGTCGCAATACTCGAAGAGGAAAGGCTGGAGGAAGAGGACGACGCGGTGCATATTCTATTACTGCTGCTGCTACATCCTCTCGCAAGCGCATAATAAATTATTCCGAGGATGAAGATAATAATAATAAAGAATTATCTGAAAGCGATTCGCAATATTCTTTTTGTAAGTTTTTTTAAAACATTATTATTATTATTTCATAAATTCTAAAGAAATGAAGCGTCACCTACTTAGTTATATATATATAAATATATATGGCTAAGTAGACGATGTTTTATTTCTTTAGCCAATCTTCCAAAACAAAAAATTGATGTCTGCAAGTCGCCCATTCCTGGGCCACATCCATCAACATCATCATCATCATCATCAACAACAACACCTGCAATAATTGACGCAAATTCAACATTAAATCTTGCTGAAACTGATTTAGGTAAGGATATTCCTGACTTAGTAATTTTATCTTCAGGAGATGAAGAACAAGTGCATAAAATTCCTTCAATGAAAAAGAAACAAAAATATTTTAATCCACCAAAACGAAAAAAACAGCAAAAACTGCTGGCATTATCGCAAATAAAATCAACGACAAGCATTCAAACCATACCAAATCCTCTTCCACAACCAATTATTTTAACTAGAAGTAGCATTAATAAAAATAAAAATAATAATAATACCGATACAATTCAAAGTAATCCCTCATCAAATCCAGTTGTTCAATCAATTATTTTAACTAATAGCGACATTAATAATACGAAAACAGTAAGTACCAACCCATTAGAAACAGTTCTCAACGACCTACCTAATTCACTGGCCAAACCAGTTGTAACAGGTAGAATTTTAAAAATTCCTCTTGAGGAATGGAAATTATCATGTCCCATCCTTCCTGATAATGGAAATCGGGTGAGAATGGAGGATAATATGAAGCTTCTTGTTCAGTTCAAAGAAGAGAAGCTAATAAAATTAGGGACCAAAAGGATGATTTTGTTCCCTGAAGAAGGGACAAAATCTTGCAAAGATAGACTGCTAACAAACTTTCCCGCGGTTTTTTGTGTTTTATTTGAAACCGTCGGTGCATTTGCACTGAATACTTTTTCAACATCTGAAATGTGCGAAATGGTGGAGCAGGCTAGCACATTGTCAATACAAATGATCAAAAAAGAATTTTTGGAAAAAATTAAAGAAAAGGATAAAGAGATTTCTCATTTGAAAGAACAATTAAACACTAGAGCCATGCAAATCATAGAAAATCCAGAATTATCTGAAGATGAAAAGAGAGAACAACCAGGCTAACCAAAATAGTAAACATGATGGGGAAAGAGCATGGAGAGCTTTTGTTGGTACAAGCAAAAATCAATGCATCATATAAAAAGTGCACAGATTCACTGGACATGTTAAATTGTTAGATTTTTATTTACTTATTTTTATTTTCAGTAAACAATAGAATACTAAAAAGTTTTCGCACAAACAATGTTGGAGGAATCCTAATTTTATTCCATCAAAAAATAAATAAACAAAACTATGTTATTAATTTTAGATTTGAAGTTAATAAAATTCAATTAAACAATTATGATTAACGAATTCTGTAATCATTATTATAATAATATATGTATGTAGCAAACTAAATAAATTGAAATGATATATGTATGTGCATGTAGTAAAGGAAATAAAAAATTCAAGCACAATTTCTATATCTAAACTGTAAAACAAAACAATATTCATCATTATTTCGCATCGGGTTTTTAAACCCACCAAATTCTAATGCAGGTAGCTGTAGTTCTAAATCGGCTGCACGACAATAACTGCGCTCAATTTTTTCACGAATTGATTCTCTGTGCACTGGGCATGTAAAATTGGAAATTAATTTTTCCTTGACAAAACGTGACAGTCGCTTTGGGAGGGATGGAATCCAATTCTTCCTCTTCTCTCTCTTTTCACAATCGCATGCCATTTTTGGTTGATCAGAGTTAGACACTGATGCAAGAGAAAGTTCATTATTTCCTGCATGGACATGATGATCACGGACATCACCGTCATTAATGTGACGGATAATTTCAGTTTTGTTAATCAATCCAACTAGAAAAAAAGAAATAAATTTTGCAAAAATGCGTAATCTTTGTAAGTATAGTAAACTACCAGGGATTTGTGTTGGTAAAAAATGCTCACCGGCTCAAAAATGCTCCCTAGACTTTGCGTATAATTAGATTTTTCGTCTGAATTTATCATTGTCAACTCCTCATGCCCTAAGACAATTCTTCATCAGCAATAAATCAAATGTAAGAATTGTACAATTTAATTAAAATAAAAACCTAATTTTCTTGATGTTGACTCATCGAGTTCTGGAGTAGAGAAAGTAATTTGCTCAACGAGACTCGTTTCTGCAAAGTAAGCTTAAATTAATTAACTTTATCTGATAAATGAATCTGAAATTAAATAACCTGACGTTTGAGGAGATAAATTTTCAGCTGAACTCTGCTCAGAATTTAATTTTCGCGAAGAATCTGGAGCAAAAAACTAGCTTGTTAGATTAAACAACAGAAGAATTAAAATAACGACCTAAGCTCGCAAAAACTGGTGTTGTTGTTGACGTTGCATCAACTTCTAAGTCAGGGAAAGAAACTTCGTCTGAAAATGAAAGTTTTAATTAAATTTGGAATAATATAATTAATTAAATGCAGACCTAATGTCCTAGAAGCTCGTGTCGTTGTTGCTTCATCAACTTTTAAATTAGTAAAAGTAATTTCTTCTGCAAAATAATGTTTTGATTAAAGATAAGAATAATATAATTTAATTAAAATAAAATAAAGACCTAATTTCTTCAAAGCTGGTCTTGTTGCTATTTTATCAACTTTCAAATCAGAAAAAGTATCTTTTTCTGGAAAAGCAAGTTTAATTAAATTTAGCAAAAATCATTCAAGCTTTTGTTTCATGAAATCATCAAATGCTTTGCATGTAAAAATTTTAAAAAGAATCTATTTTAAGAGAATAAATAAATTTACCTGGGCACATTTCAATTTTCCGAATTAAAGAAGAAAACCGAATTTTTATTATTTCCTTACGCTCCACACATTTTCCAACCTCATCCTGAATTATGAATGCACAACCCTTCTGCGAAATACATAACCTGCATGGTTTTTCCATGCAAAATCCGTTTAAAAATCCAACACAAAATAAAATTAAAATTTTCATTTTGAATAAATCGAACTAAAATGAAGTGAAATGTGTTCAAACTATGATTGATGATTAACATTTTACTAAGAACATTTTCAAACTTCATCTTAAATTCTTAGCTGAATTGCAAGATTCCAATATGCCCATTATTATTATTATTATTCAGTTAGTTAGTCTCATCTAACTCAAACATCTTACTCATGCACACACGTACATATACATAATGTAAGAAGATAAAATTAAACTGACACGAGTATTTAATTTTAGTGAGTCAGCTTAAGACTCGCATTTATTAACACAAAGCATAATTTTTCACTTTGGTTAAATTGCATCCTTCTCCTCTTTATCAATAATTTATTGATTTAAGAACAATGGATTGCATTAATTGCCTAAAATTACCCGAACACGTCTATGGAATATTGGTCAATAATACCGGCATTTGTTTCGACAAACATAAAATCCCAAAATTTGATTTTTTTGAAATAATTTTCAACGCTGAAGATTGTTCTAATTCTCCTTCAACATCTACACGTCCACCACCACCATCACCACCATCAGAGAAACCATGGGGTATGTATTTTTTAAATTTATCTATATTTAAAATGAAATTAACCAAAATTTAAATTTGCATTTAGAAATTGCTTCGCAAGAAGAAGAAGAAGAAGACGAAGAAGAAGAAGAAGAAGTTAATTGATTTTTTTACTTGAAGTGTAGTAAAAATTTTGCTAACCACTGACATTTTCAAAGGGTTTTAATCATGACAGAGTGTCCGATCTATGTGACAACATTTAAGATGGCTGTCCACATGATTCCGCGGCGAATGGTCATGTCCAAGGAGATAAGGTAGTGGCAAAAAATGGCGAGCGGCTCGGTTTCTACGTACTTTTTGCTTGCATATTTACATGCAAAATAAATTAATCTCGTTGACATTTAACATCTCATTACTCGGGGTGTATAGTGAGGAATATTTGGTGGATATGCATGAGTAATTCAGTGCACAAGTAAATACCTTAATGGATCTATCAGTTGACCCTTTCAATTTGTGTGTGGATAAATTCACGCCGAAATAATTGGATTTTTTGTTGATTTCTATCCTTTAGTTGATGGGGTGTAGTTAAAAGGCATAATGTGTATTTGGTGTATTCATGACAACTTTGAGAAATGAGAATGGATTATTTATGTTTATAAATTTGTATGATCCAGAGCTGGGAATAATCGGATTACGGATTAATAATCCCTAATCTTTAATCCCAAAATTTCCCAATTTAATCTTAATCCTTGATCCTAAAAATTCGACTAGGCAAATTAATCCTTAATCCATTAATCCGGTCATGTGATTAATCCAACTATGGATTAAGGATTAACGTTGGGATTAATTTATCTTCATCCAAAATGGATTAATTACCCAGCTCTGGTATGACCCCATAGAACTTAAGAAAGGATAACTTCACATCAACGGCAATATCTATCATGTATTTAAACGATTTATGATTGAATAGCAAATTTTGGGTCGAATCCTAATTGCTTAACATGTTCCAAAGCCGTGGCTTTAATTTCTGGCGTTAGTTCCCTCCCCGTTGTCCACAAAACCCAAGATTGCTGCAAGTCAGACGTCCACGTCGTCACACCGACAATGTAGCTCTTGTTGTCGGAAAACATGAACGAATGGCGGCCTGGAATTTCAGAAATAAATTTCAACAAATTTAGCGATTTTTAAATTAATTTAAAAAAATAGGATCAAAATTTTATTGATTTATAAGCTCACGTCCGCCAAACACTATTTTCCTTTCATCATCAAGTTCGAGAGCGGAGTCGACCTCCTGCCCCCCATATCCGGATAATTTTGAAGTTTTCGCGTCCCAGATGACGTTCGCGTTTAGCATATCAGATTCACTAAGGGAGCTGACGGGACAATGTCTCAAGGCTGAAGTGGTCCTGTAGAGGTCAAGTTTACTCCATAAGGGGAAGTACCACGTGGGGACGGAATGGAACTGAGAAATTTTCAAATTGTAAAATCTGGCAACATTATGTAATTTTTTGGGATTTTGAAACCAAAAAATTTATATGATAAAATATTCACCAAAAGTAAAATTGTTAGAAGATATTATCAATAATTTCCTTCTTTTTGCAAATAAAGATATGTATATGTACACTCTTATAAATCTAGGAAAATCCGGTAGATTCACATAGATACGCCGTCGTGGTATTGATTTACTAATGATTTCATACGGCACGGTGATGGTTTACTACTGACTAGGGAACCTTCCGAGGTGCCCGGCGTGTCCAGGGTACCCACTATGTTTTATAGAATCTACCAGGACCCTAGATGAAGGACCCATTCATATTTACGTGTTAAACTCATATTTGGCGCCTTGGCGTGGCGCCAACTTTAAAAATCTGCGTTTTCGACCAATTTCGAACTTTCATAACTTTTGCAGTTTCCGTGGGATTTTCAAAATTTTGGGCTTAAAATGATCACAAAGGTCAAAATTTTAAGAAACATGTACAAAATTAAGCATTTTTATTTTTTGAGATATTTTTTAAAAAGTTTCGACAAACCCCCATTTTTATTTTTTAATTCCAAAATTTTGAGAAAAATTGAAACAATCGAATTTTAGAAAAATTTCATAGCATACGAAAGTTGAATTCTTTTTCATGATTTTAGGAAATTTTTTTGAAAATCCGACCAGGATTTCAAAAGTTATGGCAGTTATAAAAATAAAAACATGCAAATTTGGCGAATTTGGCGCCACGAAATGGCGCCAAATATTAGCTTACACGGAGATATCAATGAGTCCTTCATCTAGGGTCCCAGTAGATTCTAAAAAACATAGTGGGTACCCTGGGCACGCCGGGCACCTCGGAAGGTTCCCTAGTGAGTGGTAAATTTTTGCGAAACCAATGTGGATGATTAAAAACTGAATTTGATAAATTTACGAAGATTCAGCTTATTAAGTAGCGCCAGCTACTTGACGCGATCGGTTAGTTAGTCTGTCTGTGTGTCCGTCTGTCTGTCAACACTAAAACTCGAGAACGCATCAAGATAATCGAAATCGGTTTGCGGCATCATACACATGACCCCAGGGGGAGGACCCCGTAACCTTTTGGACCACACCCCCTCGGCGCCAGGGGGTGTGGTCGAGGTGTGATCGGGGCAATATGAGATTTATAGCGCAAATAAATCTATAGATGAAATCCAGTTAAATTACGTGTATCTGAGTTGTGCCACACCCCCTCGGCGCCAGGTGGTGTGGTCGCGGTGTCACAATTTGGGCAAAACATGTTTTTGGTGTTGTCGACATGTCGCAATATGGCGACTAAGGTCACGACCAAGCATTCTCAGCATTTTTGCGCTACTTATGTATCGTGCTTTGCCGCACTTTATTTTATTTATTTAGCTTATTATTTATTGAGAATTTAATACGGAGGATTAAATTGTATCTGTATTTTTACCCAGTACCAGTCGAATCCATCCCAAACTTTGGGTTCACAAACTCGTCCTTCTGTCAAAGATTCTTCGTTCAGCATATTTCGTGTTAAAATTGGAAATCCTAGAAACTGGAAGATCAGACTGGAGGACAGGCAGAGTGAAGACTGTGATAGAACCGTATCTGCATTATTGCATAAATATGTTTTAAATAATTAAAAAAATCTCGCTTAAGTTTGCCAAAAGCAAAACGTAGAGACAATGAATTTTCATGCATGTTATTGATTTCTTTAACAAAATTTCCACAATCTTCCGCACGGTAAAATTGGCATATTAATAATAATGCAAAATTTCGGATGTACTAATTTTAGTCGGCGTTTAAAACTTGCAAATAACAAAAATATTAGTTTTCTCAATCCCAGAGATGGGCAATATCAAAGTTTTGGGAAATCAAAACCAAGATTTCCTGTTCCACAAGATGAAGATCACAGATGAGATAAATCTAGGCGGCCTAGGTTAAAATGCCAAAACGCGCTACAAGATCAAAGTCTCGCATAATCCCAAAAATGGGGTATCCTTGGAAAGGTCTTGATGAGAAGATTCAGAATATATATACCTCGTGGCGTCTAGGACCACCCCCTGAAGGTACAGAGATAGAATAATGAGAAGTTTTCCAAAATTTAACACACCAGTAGATTGGGAGCTGTTGTTGTTGTTTGCCTTTATTTCAAGTGTCATACATCCTATCAGTACAAAATTAGACTGGTCTTCCTAGGGTGACACAACTGAGCGCATTATATGTAATAACCTAATTAAATAACTATTTTATACTCCTTAAAATTAACACCTTTTTTCTAACAACCACATATTAACAGACTTTCTGAAGTTAACGTTTTTGTTATCTAATTCACAAAACTCTCTAGGTAGTGAGTTCCACAATTTTGACGCCGAGTAACCGAAGGAGTTTGCATATAGAGAAGTGCAATGAGTTTGAGTAATACAGGAATCAGTAATACAGCTCATGTGGCAATAAACGCACAATCTGTCAATCACATATATACTCCGAACATATATACATATATATTCTATTCGAGGGATGTGACGACATATTTTTGTGCTTTTAAAAAAATACTAATACCAAACAATTAGATCATATGCGAAAGAAATATTAAATAAAATTTATTTTATATTAGCTCTACTTACAATTACATTAAAGGTGCTCGATCTATTAATGTGCCACACTAGACGTCCTGGAGTGATATGATCAAAGTTTTACCGTTACTCTAAATATGTATTACTCCCAAAGGCAAGTGGTTTGTAAGCTACAGCTTTGCACGTTATGTGGACAGTGTCTATTTTCTAATGTCGAGTAGACATATCAAAGAGTTCAGCCGAAGCAGGAAATAAGGTAATGTAAATATACCCAAAAAAACAAACATATCGATAATTTCAGATAAAACTGCTTCCATCATATTGTTTGTGTGTTCCTGACAAGCAGGAAATACATATAGTTGATGGGTGGTAAGTAACTGATAATATTTTTCGGTTAAGTATTTACTTTATTACAACACCATCAGTTAGAAAGTACATAATTAGTAAAGTACCAGTTCTCATGTTCTCCCAGTGAAAAAACTATGTACGTGAGAGTGTGTATATTGTTCACATTTATTTCTAAAACCGGACCCTCTTTAAATTCAGTCTACTGCAAAACGTATGCCAACCTCAGAGTTCTCGACATATGAACCGTTCTATAGGGTTGCCGCGGGTAGCGAAGTTGCTACCCCTTACCCGACCCGCTACCCGCCGTCCAACTACCCGTACCCGCACGGGTACCCGTTACCCGTTATGAAAATTAAACTAAGCATTAACAAACTACCAAAATAAGATTGATTTAATAACTAATTTGCTCGTTTGGGTTGATAAGCACTTGAGATAGTGAATGCTATAATAGAAAATAGTGAATGCTATAATTAGATTGATTTCATCAACTTTTTGTAATAAAAAAATTTGGTTTCATCAGGCAATCGATTTTGACTCGATTGTTTTAAATTTTCACCTGAAGGAAATTTTTGTTTCCAAAATAACTTTCACTTGCAGCCCAAGTGCTGGCTTTAAATAGATTTTGATTTTTTTACGCCCACAAAACTAATTGACAGATCGTGCGTCCAAGGTAAATATATGTTTAAATACTAGTAGAATTAATACTAAAGATTAAAAGCCGGTAATGTATTGCTTAGAATTATTAAGAAACAATTATTCCTACTTGTTTTCTGGGCTATCAATGCGATCGTGTAGATTATTCTGATCTTACTGAAATTTTGAATTGTGTAGTTCAAGTGAATGCATTTCTTCGGGTAGATTAGGCGATGATTAGAATTTGTTGTTTAATGATTTTTACTACGGAAGAAAAAACGGACCTGGAACTTGTTTCCTCCGGTTTGTAAACTTTGACTCGAGACATTTTAATCAGTTCCAACCATCACATAAACCGCCCCAAGAAACGTCGGCTGTATTTACTTTAGATACACAGTCCCAAAATTTCAACAAAATTGGAGTGTTACCCTTCACACAATCGCATTGTGATTTTTGCCCCGATGCTTTCACAGACTTCGAGAAAAGTAAAGCTCGCTTCAAAGTTTGAAGTTCAAGCTATGATTTGATTATAAATCAACGGCCCAAAATAAACTAATAAAATTGTAAGTATGTAAGTTTTTTATACATCAACTGCTTGCATACTGCGCAAGGCGAGTAATTTAATTAAAATTGAAATACCCGTTACCCGCGTGGGTAATAGTCGCTACCCGCTGATTAACGGGTTCCCGCAATATCGGGCGGGTAACGGGTACCCGACCCGTTACCCGCGGCAACCTTACCGTTCTAGTCCATTTATGATACAGAATCGCTGAAAAAAAAACAAATCAAAGATAGGCAACATTGGTTAAAATGTTGTACGAAAAATTGTAATATCTACAGGAATGACTACAGCAACACATGTGCCAAGTTTCAAATTTCCACCTGTAAAAATGAGTCGGATATTTGACACTAAAGTGTAAGAGTCCGTGAAAGCGGTTTCCGAAGACCAGCCAAAGTTCATGCCTTCCTCTTAAAAAGCTTCTGTTTTAGGTATCTAAATCCAAAAAAATACATCGGACTGGTGTCAGGTGACTTAATAGGTATCTCCGAGCTAGATATCAAGGTCATTCCGGTTCTTGCTTTTAAATCTTGGGCGTACTGCTGGGTAAACTTGGCAGTATGTGACGATGACGCATCGTGATGGATGAAAACTTTGTCCAACCCCCTAGGGTAGTTATTTGGAATTTCGACTTCTAACAACTTTCGGAAAACATTGTCCACATAGTACTTGAAGTTAATTTTAGCATTTGACCTGACAGGTATTAATTCTATCACCCCACGGCCCGTCATTGCACCGACCACCATGAATCGATCAGAGAACTTTTCTGTTTTCTGGCACACATAGTTTGATACTGGTTTCCCGTCCTTTGTGTAACAAATTTCTTTTGACCTGTTGCAGTCTTCAACGAATAGGAGTGCCTCATCCAGTGTGACGACATATTTCGACCTTTTACCCGCAAGATAACCCTCATATAGCTTCCTATTGTTTGTTTTTCTGTTTGCAATATGAGATGGTTTTAGTGCGTGGAATATTGCCTTCTGCTGCACGGTTTTTCAAAAATCTTGATGAATGATTGTATTAACATACGACTTGGATACCTGGCATGGCTTTGCGATCTCTCTTTGGGTCGGGGGATTCGCCTTATCAGTGAGACGGTCAATTTTCTTGGGGGAGGCAGAATTCTTCTTTTTTGAGGGGTATGAACTCCGTGATATACCTTGGCCGGATGTAACTTATTGTCGTCACTTTCCTTTACAATTAACAATATTATATATTATGCTGACACCCAGATGAATTACAGATTTTTCCATGACCGTTTGGATACTGCGAAGGGTCAAATTAACTTCGGAAACCGCTTTCATGGACTCTTCCACTTTGGGGTCAATTTTTCGCCGTATTTTTAAAGGTACAAATTTGAAACTTGGCACATGTGTTGCTGTGAACTTCAAAATTATGTGTGCCAAATTTGGCGCAAATTGAATCATTCGTTACCCATGAAATTGTCGTGTTCACGTAATCTACGGACAATCTGTATCACCTCCTTCTACGGTACTCATCTTTGGACCCCTGCTCACCTCTGCCACATTTTGGGTCAAGAAAAATACAACCCCCGCGTTACCGTTTGAACTTTTAGTTGAAGAGAAGGAGATGAATATGTTTATAAAATGCACAAGTAAAGCCAGGTGGCCCATGAATTTTGTTGCAATTATGAAAAGTGGAGATTATTCCGAGATTTACATTTTTCATCGCATCAATATATTTTTGTGTAAAGCGTTTCAAAGGTAAGTATGTGTTTTGATAATAGCACTTGCACATTTCAACATACATCTTCATGACTTTCGTTGTTTATATTTCTTGATCTTCTTTGTAAGTAACTAATTTTCCTATTAACAAACAACACAATAATACGCCTACATTCAAAAACCATTACCAATGCGGCCATGGCAATTACACAACCGCACAAAATGTACAGGGTGACTATCCCTCCCTCCAAGTTGTAGGTGGTGCTACCAAACTTATGACCCCTTTGACAATGTCATCTCTCCCTTTAGGGGAGCACCGCATCAGAGAAATCCTGGCCCGTCGTCCTTGTGGTTGGACGCACACGCGGAGGCTTTCCCCACCCAGGGGAACAATGATGCCAAAGTAATCCAGGGATTTGTACCCGGTTGGGATGCTCATTTCCTCGTTTATGGAACTCAATTTATCACCACTTGTCACTAGCAAGATGTAAACGTTCATGGACGAAATAATTTCTGTTGAACCGTGCCCTTTCCCCACGTACAAAGCTCGTTGAACGGCAATGTTGAACCAGTTGAACATTTCTCTCGTGGCAATTCTATCCTGTGATGAAGGGATGTGGCAAAACATGAGGCTAATCTTATATGCAGGCAGGCGGTCGAGGAAGGCTCGGTATTTAGACGAGGACAGTGTCTTACCTGCCCGTTGGGTTAATCTGGCGATTGGAATTGTGAAAGAGCCTCCGGGGTCAAAGTCTTGATAGGCTGAGTGATTACGTAAAATTTGTAATTCGCAATTTGAAACATTCCCAATCAAGTTGGACAAAGTGGGGAATGTTTCAACTTTTGTAGTCGCATGAATGACATTTGGGATTAAGAGGAATATCTGTAAGAAGAATTTGCTCGGAAACATTTTTTAAATCCGCTTGTATCCGGTGAAATAAGCACAGAGCCTGCTATGTCCAAGTAAAAACTCGATAGGGGACCAGGCGAAATGCGTATTGCAAAAATGTTCAGTTTATTAAGTAGCGCAAGCTACTTTATTCGATCGGTTAGTTAGTCTGTCTGTCCGTCTGTCTGTCTGTCCGTCAACACTATAACTCGAGAACGCATCAAGCTAATCGAAATCGGTTTGCGGCATCATACACATGACCCTAGGGGGAGGATCCCGTAAACTTTTGGACCACACCCCCTCGGCGCCAGGGGGTGTGGTCGCAGGGTGATCGGGGCAATATGAGATTTATAGCGCAAATTAATCTATGGATGAAATCCAGTTGAATTATGTGTATCTGAGTGGTGCCACACCCCTCGGCGTCAGGGGGTGCGGTCGCGGTGTGATCAATTAATTAATTCGAATGAATTGATGAATTAATCATAAATTAATTCTAATGAATTAATGAATTAATCATTAATTAATTCTAATGAGTTAATGAATTAATCATGGATTAATTAATTAATTAATTAATCAATTAATTCAATTAATTAATTGCGCAAATTAATTCTCAGCATTCTCAGCATTCTCAGCACTATTGCGCTACTGATGTATCGTGCTTTGCCGCACTTAATTTTGGATGCTAATAACTAGTCCATCATAACATTGTTCCATTTCCAATTTACGAGCAGATATTAGCATATCAATATTAATGTGTTTTGCGCGATAAAAAACTAATGATAAATTTAATCTTAAAAAATAAAAGTTCTATGGTGAGGTTGGTGGTGAAATTAAACAAAGAAACATGGCATTATTAGACCTATTTACCATACAAGCCCTCACCTTGGGCGTTTGGAGCCCTATATTAATAAGCTAACAAGGGACACTCACGACCTGTCGTTGGTGTCCAGGGTACCCACAATGTTTTTTAGAATCTACTAGGACCCTACACTCTCAGAACTGTGGTAATGAAATTGCGAACTGGTTTATTACTGATCCCTTGATAAACATTGATTTTCCCGTAAAAGTAATGAAATTGTTTACCAAAATTCATTATCATAGGAAAATTTTATTTATTACTGCTTGGTATCATATGGAAATCCAGGGCAGTATAACCGCTTTCCTCTATAAATAATTATAGAATCTCACGGGTCTTACGTAGGCATCATTGGTCGAGGAAAACGAGGCTGGCTCCACCATACGCGCCCTCGTGGCGGAGTGGTTTGATCCCTCGCCTTCATACTCCCATAAGCACAGGTCCAATCCCCTCCTTCATGATTTTCTTCACGATAGCTCTATTGCATGTCCCCGGTCGAGTTGGATCAAATGCCTGGCACAAGAAATCTGGATACTCTTGGTCCGTCAATTTTCGTAAATTTTCGAGAAGGTTTTTCTGCAATGTAAATAAAAGATGAATTTATTTTCAGAAACACAAATTGTTAAAGGAACAAATAAAAAATAAAGGATTATTTCGCAAAAGCTTACCACGGCCGGAGATGTCATCATTGGCAATTTATTGGTTAATTATATTTAATTGGTGTACATTTGTGTGGAAGAATAAACTTCAAGCCTACCACACTCAAACAACTTTACTCTTGCCGCAGAATTTCTGACGTCACACGAAGAGAAAGTTTGTGCAGCGACCAGATTGGAGGAGATTTTGTCTCGCTCCGCCCACCTCGGTGGACACATTTTCCCATCTTTCCAGCAGTCTTTTATTTATTAGTCTATGGTTTTGAGTAAAGTGCTTTCCATCCCTGAGATAAATTTGGCAAATTTATATCGGCGTCAAAGGAAATTTTGTTCGAAATATGATTTATCCGCTAGCTTTTATCCACATGCAGTGAACTTCTTCAGGCAAAAGTTTATAAAAATAATTGTCAGATGTTGTACAAGTCAATATTATCAATTTACCTACATTTTTATGGACATAGTTACTATCTTTCGTATTTTAAATCAATTACTCAATCAATTAAATCTGAGTGTGTGTACCCACTCTAATGTGTCTGATACCACGACAATGAATTTGTAAATAACTCAATCTCCCAACCATACATTGTTTTTCAAAAGCAATTTGACAAGGGGTAAAGCTAAATGAAGATTATGATTTACACTTTATCAAGCTTCACTATCAATAAATTTATCAACCAGCGTGAATATAATGGGTGGTAATTATATTTATAAGTGAGGTCATCATTTGCCTCGTATAATTAAAAACCTCTGAGTACAGCTTTGCCTAGGCCGAACCAGGATCTGATCAGTATTATCAACAGAGGGCGGATATGTATGTATTTATAACTTTTTCATACAAAACCAGATCGTACTGAAACTTCGCATACTAACGTCTTATCTAAGTGACATCTCAAAAATTCAAACATAGTTTTCCATATTTCACATATTTTAGGGTTTTCATACATATACATATTTTCATACATATTTTGAGGTTTTTTGGTGAATAGTAAATATTTGACTACATATTTCATAGCTTTTTAAAATATAAATATTTTTACGCATGTTTTGAAGTTATCTATATAAAAATCTCTCTTAATAATTCACGTTTGCTCAAAATTATGTTTTTATGATAATGGTGTTTATGTAATTCGAGTGAACGAGTGACAAACCCATTTTGCCCCATTGTATGTTTCCCAGGCGAGGTATGCCCTTTTGTTTAGTTATTCATTGCTACGAATCATATTCTTGTTGAGTTAAGCTTCTTAAAATAATAATAGTTGTTTTTTAGAGAAATTTTAATTTTAATTAAAACGATGGGGAAGCAAAAGACGGATCATAAATCCCTTCATGCAGGTTGGATTCAAGATTTAAAGGTTGCTAATATAATAAAAATTGACGGTGCAAAACTTGTCTGTTTGGTAAGTTTCAAGACAACTTTATAATTAAATAAATAATTAGTTAATTGTACTACTTAATTTATTTGTTTACTACTAATAATTTACCACTTATGCATGTAATTTTAGGCTTGCCAATCCAACTTCACATTTAAGCAAAAGAGCCAGCTCGAGCAACATATCAAAACTTCCAAACATGAAAATTTGGCCAAAAAATTTGCAATGGATCCGCAACGCCAAATCCTACTGAGCGAGGCTGTTGAATCGCAATCTAATAAGCCTTTCTATAAAAATATGTGCCGGGCGTTTATTTCTGCCGGAATTCCTTGGAAAAAATTGCAAAACCCAGTCCTGCAAAACTTTTTGCAAACGTACACCGGACGAGCTATTCCAGACGAATCTACCCTCCGAAAAAATTATCTTCCACAGATATACGCAGAGGTACAAAACAAATAACTGTCGTAAATATCAATTTAGTTTGTAAATTTACTCATCACACTGATTATGCATAGGCCATTGAGGAAATTAGACGAGATGTGGGAACAAATCCAATCTGGCTTTCGGTTGATGAAACAACGGATGCATGTGGTCGATATATTGCAAATGTTTTAATTGGATCCTTGAAAAAAGATGAACCAAGCAAATCTCATCTTATTTGCTCTAAGCAGCTTGAGAAAACAAACAATGCGACTGTAACAAAACTTGTTCTGGACTCTTTGCGTAAGTTTAGAATATTTGTTACTTGGAATTCAGACCTTGTAATTAATCTCCCTTTTATTTGGAATTTGCAGAAATGTTGTGGCCTGGCTGCAAACAAGATCAAATTGAAGCGAAATTTCTTCTGTTCATTACTGACGGAGTGCAATACATGTTGAAAGCTGGGAAAAACTTAAAGGTTATTTATACAAAATTATTACACGTGACATGCCTTGCCCATGGCGTGAATCGAGTTGCCGAGCAAATACGTTCCCTATTCCCAGACGTGGATAAGTTTGTCGCAAATATGAAAACTGCATTCAAGAAGGCCCCAAGTAGGATCGCTATTTATAAGGAGAAATGTCCTGACCTTCCCCTTCCGCCGAACCCAGTGATTACCAGATGGGGAACATGGTTGAAGGCTACTGAATTCTATGGTCAACATTTCAACGAAATGAAGGATATTATAGAAACCATAAACAACGATGCAGCCTCAGTGAATACCTTGAAAACTATGATTCAATCCCACGACCTTCCGAGGAATTTGGCATTTATCTCTCTGAATTACACATCTTGCTGAAAAATTGACAGAACTCCAAGAACACGGTGGATCATTGCACCAGACTCTCCAATACCTTGACGAAATTGAAAACAAATTGCTCAAGGTGAATGGGAATATTGGAAAAGCTGTTATTGAGAAATTTAGGACTGTCATTGGCAAAAATCCCGACCTAGAGAAATTGAAACAAATCTCTTCGATTTTAGAAGGAGAGTCAGATGAAGAACTGAATCCTGCAGAAGTTGCTGCATTCAATTATGCCCCTTTGACATCCGTTGAAACTGAGAGAAGCTTCAGTATGCACAAGTTTTTGCTTTCAGATAGACGCCAAAAAATTACTCCAGAAAATCTCGAAATGGAACTGGTGTCACGGTATGAGTCGTTGACTGAAGATTAAAATTTAAGTCTAATAAGATATGCTTATAAGAGAGGTAAAACATGACTCTGTTCGAAAATAAAATATAAATATGCTAGAAAATTTCAATTGCAAAATATTTTTTATGTGCATATTTTAGAGTTTTTTACGTGCATATTACATAAATATTTTCAGGAATTTAAGTACATACATATCCGCCCTATGAGTATCAATTTGTCCGACTATTTTAAAATCATATCCAACCACCATTTAAAATTCTATCAATTCTCTCTTCTCTCTTAAGTTTATCTCTCGATGTCAGGGTGGGTCACCCCGTAGGGTCTAACTGGATTAAAAATTTACAAAATTTAAGTCGGCTTCTTTCAATAAATGTCGGTCGTCACCTTTGAACCAAATGTTAGCTCTTTGCGATAATTTCTCAAAATCAGAGTTGGTGACCCACTAAGGTCCCTGCGATAAAATGTTTTAAAAACTTTTCTTCATATTATTCATTCCCAACCCAGCCATGGCAAATTTTACTTATTTTGGGAAACCATATGCACTTATATGGAAAAATTCGTCAACTTTGAAAATTTTCGATAAAAATTCCCAAGGGTCCCCCCTTCTCTCAGTAAATCGCTGAAAATATTTTCGACCACCACCGGTCCAAATTTTTTTTATCAAACCCATCTTCGAAATCATAAATTCCCAATACACATGTATGCCTTCAAGTCGATTAGATAAGTTTAACGAAGGTTATCGCGAGTCAGACAGACGAGCAGACAGACGGACACGAAGGTCACATAAGCCCAGGTTCGGGCTAAAAATGCGATTGTTTCAATTTTGTGTGTCCCGTGATCTGAATCCAGCAGCGCCTGACAGCGTGTCTGATGATGATGTACTCTTTATCAACGACCAACAGAGGTTGAACACTTCAGATTAATCGATGTCCCAGAATGTTGTTTACCATCTCATCCAAATGAAATTCAGCCTCATGACAATACCAGCAAGTAAGTATATGAACGTATCATTCGCATTTGCTTATCACGTGAAGAACATCAAAATATGTTTGACAGCACGGCATTATTATCTATCCACAAACCAAGATTAAACCCAAATTGACAGGTTCTGCGGAGAATTTTGCTCCTGAAATTGCATATAAAGTCGGGTAATTCCTATGCGATACGCAAATTGTACTTGTTATTCAATATAAAATTTCGCAGCGGAAAAGTAAATAAAAAAGTAATAATGTGTCGGTCAATCCTTCTGACTGTACTTTTCCTGTTCAACTCAGCACAGTTTGGGATTGGTATAATGCAGATATCTTCTTATACGAATCAAATTCTTATACGTTTGTTTCAACAATTTTTGATTGATTTCTCAGGGCTCGACACAACCGGGCCAAGTGATGACCCGATCGCAGTGAATCCGGCAACTCTACCCGGCGGAACCATAACTATTGAGTTTCAGCCTGGTCCATTCTTTCAAGATTTCAGACCCCCATTTCCAACAAACGCTTGGTGGTCAGGTCTCACTTTAGGATGGCAATCCAACGTACTTGCTGGCCCATTTCCATTCATGTCCAAAACCGAAAATGAGGGTTTCCAATTTGGAGTACCCGAGGCTCGTCGCTTTGACGGTATAACTATTCATCAAGATCCTTCAATCGACTGGCAAGCCGGTTTTACAGGGATACTTGATGATATTGCTGCAAGGAAAGCTACTTATTGGGATACCCAAACAATATGTTTAGTGTACTTTAATGGAGGAGTGGCTCAGATGAATACTTGCCTTGTACCTGGATCTCCATACTTGACCTTTAAATACACAAATGCAGCTCCTGAATTTACATCCTTAATGGGTCCTATAACGGATGTAGTTTGGGTTACCACAGGGTTTAAGGTCAAGGTAACCACGGTAGTTGGAACTTACTTATTTTACGCGCTAGATGGGGATCTCAATCTGGAACTCGCCATCGATGACACAAGCTTGATATCACCACAACCTTACACTGGAACAATCCGGGTTGCAAAAGTTATTAGTACCGAACCAACCCAAGAGGCCATACTCGATACACATGTAGGATCTGTGCCATACGGCGTAGTTATGGATTACCGTGTTGACGGAGACATCAGCACTCAAACGTGGACGTGGCAGTTGGAGCGGGGGAATCCCGAGGATTTGCTGATTTTGTCCTGGCCTCACCACAGGTAAACTTATGCAAGTAGTATTAAATAAGTTTTTAGATCAGTAATAAATTATTACAAAACTTTTATAACGACTTTGCACACAGAAAGGTTCTTGTAAACCCAAACTATATGCCAATTGAGTACATGACCATCAAAGGTAAAATGAGGGGTGTACGCGGTAATGTATGGACACAACGCCACAATTTACCTACAATCAAATGGTTTACTCCAAATGCCCCACATCCTTCTTGCATAAACGAATTAAACAGGACATTACAAATTGAAGTGGACAACCCCACCCTAGGCATCCCAGGGAATTACTACTTTTGGGGAGGTGAATTTGCAAGAGCTGCTCAACTCGCAACAATAGCAGAACATATTGGTCGACTCGACTTGATTCCAAAGATTCTGGACACGATGAAGATTGTAGAGCACATCTTTGACCCAGCCCACCCTGAGCTACTGGCATACGAAACTGGTTGGGGTGGTATTGTGGACCGAGAAGATATAAATTCACACATGTTCAACGATCATCATTTCACTTATGCGTATAGCTTGCATGGGGCCGCTGTAATGGGGAAGTATGATCCGGAATGGTTGAATCAACATAAGGATTTCTTTTTGCAGTTCGTAATAATTCTTTTCTATTGTATGTATTCGAGGCGCATTCTATTGTTGCTATAAATTTATTTAATTTTGTCAGTCTGGCGAGAAGCATTGCAAATCCATCACCCAACGACCCCCATTACACCGTAACTCGTCACATGGATTTCTTTCATGGACATTCCTGGGCATCTGGCTTAGGAAACTCGGCTGGGGCACGAGCTCAAGAATCTAGCAGTGAAGCAATAAATGCATACTACAGTCTTGCTCTATTCGCTGAAGCAATTGGTGATCAACACCTCTTGGACTATTCACGACTGCTGTTAGCTATCGAGCTTGCCGGAGCTATTCAATATTGGCATTTATACCCAGCTGAAGATGATCCAGATACACCCTACCCAGAGCAAGATTTTAGAAATTTAGTATCAGTTGGAAACTTGTTGGATGCATCGGTTGGTGCTTGGCTGTATTGGGGCGGGCAACGTATTCAGATAGCTGCTATTCAGCTTCTCCCTCTGACCCCTATTGGACAGGATTATTTTGATGTACCATGGATGGAGAAAATGCTCGAGTATTGCATGGAGGAAATTGAAGACTTGTCTATTGGCGATTCGTTCAAGTCAGGTGATCAATTAGTTTTGGGTCTAATTCAATTAGTCCTTTTATAAAAGTATCTTCGGTGGATTGTAATTCTCCTTATTCTCTATATTTTTCTTGTAACAGTAATTGTTGCTGCCTATGCCACCGTTAATCCCCAAAGAGCTTATGTTCTTTCACAAGAGATTGCCGATTGGGGAGGTGGTAACTCGTGGACAAATTCCTTGTACTTTATTTCGTCGCAATCATTCACCAATGATATCTGTACAGAAGCAGGCCAAACTCCAGAAGGCCTTTTCGTAATTCTGGACGTCATGAGTGGGAAATATGTTACACTCGGAACTGACTCAAAATTGACAGCAGTTGGAGGGGCTAACGTTCTAGCAAGTAAATTCAGGCTGGCATTTAAACCCGGTGGCGGGACCCTTCAAGCGCTTAACAATAATAAATACGTGACCGCGGATAGTAGTGGCACTTCTGCTCTTGCCGCTACCAAGGATACTGCGTCTATGTATGAGCTGTTTAGATGGTATCCACAACCTGACGAAACATATCAGCTAAGAGCTTTGTCTAACAAAGGATTTGTCGGTACTGCCGCTGACAGACAACTAACAAATAACGGGATCGCAAGCAAGTACATATTGGTCCGTGTTGACGACGCACCCCTTGCACCACCACCTGCTCGAGGGAAATTGCGTAATAGTAACAGCAACAGCTTCGTTCGGGCAATTGCGTCAGATCCAACTCTCCGAGTTGGTAATGCCGAGCCGGATGCAACCATTTGGTCAACAGAACGCGTAGAAGATTCTCCAGATGCAGCACCACTCTATACCATTCGCAGTACGACAACGGACCTATTTGTTACGGCGGACCCAACTGGAGCCAGTCCCTTAACAGCAACTAACGGTGGCGCCGGGGCTTGGGAATATTTCCAGTTTATTCCCTACAATAATGAGGTGTACATCATAATACACGTCATCTCTGGGAATGCAGTTGCTGCTCAACCCGATGGAACACTTGTCGATAATACTTTAGATATTGATTTAGCTGTTCAATGGGCAATATTGTGAGTAAATTTATTGACGTTACAAACATAATTTGACGAAATAAAGTAAGTGTATAATTGTGATTTGTGCAAAAGTAGGATGGGACATTTTGCTATGATTATTCGTTAATTTGGAACTTCTAAATAGAGGTGTTAGCGACTTTTTGCTAAGTGTTTAAAGGGTTTAACCGTATTTAATTTCGTTCTGAGTCGAAAGACGATTAAATTCCTATGAAGAAACTATATTATGCTTCAACACAGTAATAATAAACCATACAACAACAACAAGATCAGTATCTTTGGATTCCTTGGTGACTTTCTAATTCTTGTAATAACCTATCACGACCTTCCATGATTTATTAAAGTAGATTAGTTAGGTAATTAATTTCCACGGAAAATATTTGGGTAAAAAATATAGTAACCTGAGATCCGCGAACGCAAATTTCCCCTTTATCATTGGGCCCGACTATTTTTCCCGAGGTCCACCAGATCCTGCTTTTACTACACTCATTTCCGTTGGGGTCATGTGACTCCCGGAAGATATTTCTGTCATCCCATACGCTACAGAAGATAACAATAGATGATTACTTTTTGTAAATAGATAATATTTACGGACAATGGCTAAATAAATATAAAACTTTAGGTTCCTAAATAGCCTAAAACTTGTCATCGAATTAAATGTATGCATCACAAAATTGACAATTTTATCTGGTGTAAAATTATGAACCATAATTTCCCTGTATAACGTAAACGGCAAATACGATCAAATTAGCATCTTACCTTCTTGATAAATAATTCCATGATCAAATTTGTCCATGTAAAGATTAATTAGGCTCTTCCCAGTCGGTGCTCCACCTGCCACAGTTCCCTTCACCGTTTCTAAATCCTTTCTCGTTATGCCCGCACTGTGCAAAAGGAATTGCATTAACGGTATCACCAAATGTAGTAATGTTGGCTATACATAAAATATATTACTTATTAATATGGTTTAAAAAATAAATCGCTGGGGGCATCGTTCAAATGCCTTGGGTTTTCGCGATCCCTACCCCCAGAAAATTTTTAAGATTTCCCGAAATTACTCGAAAATAACGAATATTTCAGGGAATTTTTTAAAATTCCCCTGAGAATAAAGAATATTTGAATATTTCAGGGAATTTTTCCCATTATGTCCGACTTTCTTGCATAATTCAGTATCTCAACAAATCCTTACTGGACAATATCTATTTCTCATTTGCGTAATATTTTGCACGTAAACAAAACAAATAATATGGAATGATCAAGCTCACCTGGGAAAGAGAAAGAGAAAGACTAAGCAGCAGCAACAGCAGCATTCTCGCTCGTCCAATAAGTAATATTTTGTAACTTAAAGTTTCTACACTTTCCGACCACCCCCACTTGGGTTCTTTGTACCATCTCATTCCTCTTGGGACATTTTACAAGTTTGTGATGCCCTCAATTCTGAACACTTCGTCGTTTGTTGCTTATCGTGGATAATCTTTTGGCTGAATTTTGCTGCTACCCTGTACCTAGAATGGACTTTTCCGGCCGTACATTACTGAGTGTGTACTTCTTTCCCACTTTTTGAAGCTTGAGGGGAATTCGGCCTAACTGGGAACCTGATTGGTTTTGGATACCCGGGGGTCATATAGGTGGGTGGTATTATGCACCAAAATCTCAAAATAGTGCTAGAAAGCTGAAATTTGGTACAGAGGTTGATAATAGCTCGTAATGGATAAATGTGACTTGAAACTGGAAAAATGTTCCTCTGGAGGGACCCGAGGGGGTGACCCTTACCGATTTTTTAAAAGGTCATATTAAAGGTCATCAACCTGTAATTTGGCATGCTGGTTACTAATCGCCCATGATGGAAGAATATGCAGTGAAATTGGTAAAAATTTTATGTCGACCCTAAGGGATGATTCATATCGATTTTCAGAAATTGTCGCAGAAAGCTCAAGTTAGGTACGATGATGCTTACTGGCTTATCATGGAAAATATGAAGTTAAAAGTTAACAAAGTGTAAGCAAACAGACCTTACAGGGTGACCCGTACCGTTTTCTAAAAGTTGCTAGGCTGGCTGCTATTCGGGACATGAGTCATGTGTGCGTATTACAGTGAAAATATAATGTCATAGGGACTTAATTATTATTTGGAAGATCCACCAGGGTCACCTCAGTGATTTTCGGAAACTGTCATAGAAGAGTGAAAGTTGGCGTGAAGCTGTATGAGTATGTATGTATGTATGTATGTATTGGTGGGGTGACGATCCTGCCATTGTTAGACTGGACCGTCAGCTGCGCAAGCACTAGGGCTTATTGCAGTCTCCCCGTATACACCGCTTACTGTGCAGAGTTATGACTCTCACGATTTACCGATCTAACTTGATCAACAAACCGCCCTGATCTGATTATAAATTGAATCAGATCGGGCAGAGGCATAGTAACTATTTGCTCTGGTGGCACATCGTGCCTCCCGAAGATTTCCAACCTTAGGGCACAGTACTTGTCACAGGATCCGAGAAAATGAAATACAGTCTCAGGGCCACGGCCGCATAGGCACATGGCCTCATCAACTAATCCCATTGTTCTAAGATGCCCATTTAAGGTACAGTGCCCGGTTAAGGTTTGTATTACTGATCGCAGATTATTCCGATCTAGGGTTAAAAGCTTTCTGCTAGGCCCTGATAAAGGGGCAAAGAGAAAAGCTTTAGAAGTTAAACAACCCTTGCTGCTTTTCCACGATTTGGTATGCTGCAATCTTGCCCAGTTTGCAATGCTGGAGATTACAGTGCTTCTGGATAGAGGAATCGAGGGCTGCGGGCCAAGATACTCAGTAAGAGTACCTTCTTTGGCCAACAAGTCAGCCACGGCAATTGTCACGTATACACTTGATCTTAAAAATTATTATTCTCTGCATTAATTCTTTGACCATTCGGGGCTGAATTGCATCAATTGGATGTGGTCCATAATCTTAAATTAAAGGCGTTAAATACAAATTAAAACTTATCAAACCGAACAAAAAATGTTGAATTAAATGCTCAGCTCAACTGCGCCATGAGTACATTCAGCAACTGATTTATTAAAGATCAAATCATGTCGTATTTAACTAAGAACAATTAATGCATTCATAATGCATGCATAACCTAAAATGTCAAGCAGGTTAATAAACTTAAGCAAATCCGCCCACAATAACTTGTGGTCGAATATTTGCTACAAATATATATGCAGATAGTTGACACACGTCTTGGGCAAATCATACAATGGTTACTTTCAACACTCCCTTTAAACATTTATGATTTAACTAAATATTATTGTCCGGGTCGTTCCATAACCAAAATCCACAGCAGGATATGCCGCTCCGTGATCTGCTTCTGAGTAATAAAACAATAAAACTCCACAAAAAAGTTTTCCTTTTTTTAAAGTTGACTTTAGAACAAAGTTTTTCACTTTTAAATTTGAATTTGCCAATCCCATAAATACTATCCGAAGATGTTGTCCGTTTTAAATATTGGCAAATTTCTTCTGTTGCATTCCAATGCAGATACAGGAGCAAAACAATGAAATCAAACTCATAATTTGTGTCACACTTGCTCCCTTCAAACTGCTTACAGGTCTGCATTAAAACGAGCCGAGTTTTATACTCTTTCGCTTTATGCCTTTCCAGCACATACTCGCGACACTTATATTGACGGAAGTATATTCTTATTTCTCTTCCAAAAATGAACTCCCTTCCATGAAATCTGACCGGTGGTAGAATTCCTATGCTGAAGACCAACTTCAACTTCTCTAATTCTTCTGACCATGGTACATTAAACTTGAAATAATTCTTGGGAATTAAAATACGTTCATTCGTATCTATTTTCCTATCCTTCCCTGTATTTCTCTCGTTTAATTTGCTAATACTATCTCGTCGTCCGGCTAGTTGGAAAACATGTTCCAATGGGAGTTCCTCAGTATTTTTCATATGAAGAGGTCTGTAGAGAATATCAGCTCTTATAGAATTTTCACAACAAACATGTTGACTCATATGCCATTCTTTCGGCACGAACTGATTTCTTTTCTCTGAGACAAATGAGATTAACCTTTGACTCTCATATTCCTGCCCATTATTATATTCAGACATTGCCATATTATTATCTGCAATGGCGGTGACAGAAGTAACTGCATCTTTCACATTCTGCACTTGTTCATTGAATGAAGATGCTTCATCAGTCACAACAGAATAATTCAAGCTCTCATTTTCTGAGATTTTATCTGCATAGCTCAATTCTCGAGTTACACATGTAACAGTCTTTTCAACTGTGATTATTTCCATGCATTCATCTTCCGTGAACTTGGGACTTTGCATTTCTTCTAGTTTATAGGCGGTTTCCTTATCTGCAGTTTTGTTTAGAAACTCAGAATTATGGTGAGCCATCATCAGAGGGAGGATATGTATGTATTTATAACTTTTTCATACAAAACCAGATCGTACTGAAACTTCGCATACTAACGTCTTATCTAAGTGACATCTCAAAAATTCAAACATAGTTTTCCATATTTCACATATTTTAGGGTTTTCATACATATACATATTTTCATACATATTTTGAGGTTTTTTGGTGAATAGTAAATATTTGACTACATATTTCATAGCTTTTTAAAATATAAATATTTTTACGCATGTTTTGAAGTTATCTATATAAAAATCTCTCTTAATAATTCACGTTTGCTCAAAATTATGTTTTTATGATAATGGTGTTTATGTAATTCGAGTGAACGAGTGACAAACCCATTTTGCCCCATTGTATGTTTCCCAGGCGAGGTATGCCCTTTTGTTTAGTTATTCATTGCTACGAATCATATTCTTGTTGAGTTAAGCTTCTTAAAATAATAATAGTTGTTTTTTAGAGAAATTTTAATTTTAATTAAAACGATGGGGAAGCAAAAGACGGATCATAAATCCCTTCATGCAGGTTGGATTCAAGATTTAAAGGTTTCTAATATAATAAAAATTGACGGTGCAAAACTTGTCAGTTTGGTAAGTTTCAAGACAACTTTATAATTAAATAAATAATTAGTTAATTGTACTACTTAATTTATTTGTTTACTACTAATAATTTACCACTTATGCATGTAATTTTAGGCTTGCCAATCCAACTTCACATTTAAGCAAAAGAGCCAGCTCGAGCAACATATCAAAACTTCCAAACATGAAAATTTGGCCAAAAAATTTGCAATGGATCCGCAACGCCAAATCCTACTGAGCGAGGCTGTTGAATCGCAATCTAATAAGCCTTTCTATAAAAATA